GCTCTAAGCTCCTTCCAACGTGACCATATTTTGACATGGTAGTTCCACTGTAAGAAGTCCATGGAGGTTAGAGATGGTTAACTCCCACCTCATATTTCAGTCCATCATAAAATTCATCAGTCACCCTCCATGGGGATCAGTTCCCTTGAAAGTAATCTGTCTGCAATAAGCTGTCAAAAGGTAGCTTTCAAAATGAACATTATGGAATTTTACACTTCCCTAACTGAATGTAGTGAGACTCTAGTGATAACATGACAGAGGATTTGGCATTTTCCTTGTTGATATTTGAACTTTCATTAATTAGTTTTCTTGTTCTTTATTGGTGCTCAGTACCTCCACCTCCCCAACCACGCCACCCCTACCCACTCCCCACCCCCCCAATAAGAAGAAGGTATGTAGGACAGACAAAATGTTCAGGATAATATATTTCAGAATAAATTGTTCTACTAGATTGAATACAGCCACCACAAGTAACAAAGTTGTTTGAACTCTGCTTTGATTTCTGAGGCATAGCATCAGAAATTATTAATAACATAACATCATGAGAACAAGAAGAAAAGAGGGATTTCATACCCAGATCCTATTTTCCTTGCTCTCTTTTGATTTGAGCTGAATACATTTTGTCCCCTTATTATATTATGTAAATTGTTCCAATTGACATAACACTATGTAAACTCTGCCATTTTTCTTCCCATTTTGAAGGGGATCAGTTATTAAAGAAATAAAATAAAACATTGTGGAAGCAAATTATGTACTAGGGTTGCCCATGAAAAAGATTTTAACATATTTAGAAAAGCAGGTAAAATTGATTCTTCCAACACAAAGTCTTAAGACCATAAAATCATTTAGTCATCTTGATCTATTAGGTATGAAGGAAATTTAGAACAGGTGAAATGGTGCTGTGGTAGCACCTTTGCCAACAGGCAGATGCCCACCCTGCCTCTCTCTCACTCACCTTTTCAACAGGACAGGGGGGAAAAATAGGGTGTAAAAGATTGTGGGTAGACATAAAGACACAGAGATTAAATAAAACTTACCATCACAGGCAAAACAGATCTGACTGGGGGAAAATTAATTTCCTTTATTGACAACTAAAATATAGTAGGATAGTAAGAAACAAAGACAGAAACTAAACTACGTTTCCCACATTCCCCCTTCCAAGGCTCAACTTCAGTCCTTCCTTCCTGACTCCTCTTCCTCCTGCCTTAACCCCAAGTGGCACAGAGGAGGTAGAGCATCAGGAGTTGCAGTCAGCCCATGACAGTTACTCTCTGAAGCGCCTTCCTTTTCAGACTTCTCCCCTGCTCCAGCATGAGGTCCTCTGCACGCTGCAGGGAAACACCTGCCCCACTAGAATCTCTTCTAAAACTTCCACAGGCTGTAATAAAATCTCTCCTCCAGTGCATTGAGCCCCCACCACAAAAACCTTGCAGCCTACACCCAGTGCAGGTGCAAAACAACATTTGTCTGACCATTGCTGTAATGTCACTGGGCACTGTTCTCAGAACTCGTACCAACATCCTGATTTTTGCTCTTTTTCCAGAATGTACGCATGGATACACACTTGTACAACATGAGTTAGAGTTAGGAAAAGGCTCCGCACTCTTTACCTGTAGTTTTAAATATATTTTACTCACAATTTGTTACATGACTTAACAAAGTTTAGTCAATACTTTTACTTAGTCATCTGTTTAAGCCCAGCCATAACTCAAACGTGCAGTTGCTCTCTCACTCCCCAGCTTCCTTCCCCCCTGGCTCCCGGAGAGATGGGGAGGAAAATTGAAAGAATGTGACTCCCACGGGTCGAGGTAAGAACAGTCCAGTAACTAAGGTATAACACAAATCACTGCTGCTACCACCAATAATAATAATGATAAGGGAAATAAGAAGGGAAGAGAATACAACCGCTCACCACCTGCCGATCGACACCCAGCCTTACCTGAGCAGTGATATACCTCTTCTGCGTAACTGCTCCCAGTTTATATACTTGTCATGATGTGCTGTGATATGGAATACTTCTTTGGCTAGTTTGGGTCAGGTGTTCTGTCTTTGCTTCCTCACGGCTTCCCTCTCCTCCCTGGCAGAGCATGAGACTCAGAAAAGTCCTTGGTCAGAGCAAACATTACTGAGAAGTAAGTAAAAACATCGGTGTTAACAGCGCTGTTCCCAGGCTGAAAGTCAAAAACGCAGCACTGCACCAGCTACTAAAAAGAATAATGACTGCTACTGCTGAACCCAGGACATCATTTCTCCAGCTTAAATTTTCATTTTATATTTACATTTCATTTACTTTTCCATTTTGCAGGATTTCACAATAAAGTTCAGCTGATCTATCATGACCATCCTAACTTTATGCAGCTTAAATAGTTTGTGCTTGTGTCCTTGATATTGTTTAAAGAATTCCCTAAGCACTTTTATCCCATGTATTTTCCATAGAAACTTCTACACTGGTTCTCTTACTACTTGAATTTTTCTTTGGAATCCTTTTTTCTCTTCTTCCCCCTTCTTACACTGCAAGATATAGACTCTATATGGTCATTGCCATCTTAGTTGCTTTTGCATTCCCACCAATAGAATAATGCCAGAAAGAAAACACTTCTGAGACCCTATCTACACATTGATGTCAAAGGAATTATCCTCAGTGTCCTATCACCCTATCAGGTCCAGGATACAATGTCCTTTACTATAGCTTTATAGTATCTCTTATTATACAGCTATAGATCAGCAGTCTAGAGGGATCCTTCTGACATCTGTATATAGGTTTTAACCATAAATACATACTCTATATATCTCCATTAAAATAAAAAATAAACAAAAAAAAAGAACCCCATCCAAATTTAATTTGGAATTTCAAATTTACCCACAACTCTAGGCATTTCTCCATAGTCTATAAAGATGAAATTTTCTTTTGTATTTTACAGGAAAGCTTTTAAAACAAAATATAAATATCTGCTACTGACAGTCTTTTTTCTCTGAAAATTGAACTAATACAAATGTAACCAGTTTTGTAAGCTTGACATGCTTGGGGTTTTGCATTTGAAATATTCTCACAAGCAGAAATGATGTTTTCAAAATGCTTTCAGTTTTTAATATTTGAGTAAACTAACATGTTGCTTGATTTTAAAGTTAAAATTACATGACAGATTTTTCCATAATTTCACATTCCTAAATGTACTGGAAATGTATTCACTAGAAACAAAATGAAAACTGTAAAGAACATCTCTTTATGTGAGAAGAAAAATAAGTTCTAATACATAACCTTTCCCTCTGTCTGAAGAAATTTCCCAGGCCTTTTCTATTACACCCTTCTATTCCTAAAATAATGAATAAACCTAGAGAATAACTTTTTTTTCATAGCTCAAACATAAAAATTACCTCCTTCAAAACATTTTCAGAAACAAGCTGAATATTTTAAGTAGGTAAAAATAGTTATCCCAGTCAAGACACTGGAAATGTGTACAAACTATGTCCAGATTTAGAAGATGAGCATGAGGTAGACACTGACAGCAAAGATCACCCTTGAGGATATTTATAAGAAAATCTATCATCTGTAAAACTGAAATGATAATAGCCATTAACTATGAGGAATGCATTCCTTGTCATTTTTCCAAAAGAGAAAATGCCTTTACTAAAAAAATAAACTGTGATTGTCAAGCGGAAAAAAAATAAAAAAACCCCTACCAAACTAACAACACAAAAAAACCCATCACACCTAAAAGCAAAAAAAAAACCCCAAAACACAGAAACCTAAATGACATTCTTATCATTGACAAGCGTAGTGACTAAGAAGATTTTAACCGACTAGCATAGTGCGACAGTTTAAAAAGCTATTGTATGTTACTGTCTAAGCATCTGTTTATGAAATGGGATTAACTCTTTCTTTTGTACAGTAAAAAAAAAAAAAAAAGGGTATTCACAGTAAGAAAGCTTTTTGACCTGGGTTCAGCAGTAGCAGTCGTTTTTCTCCTTAGTAGCTGGTGCAGTGCTGTGTTTTTGACTTTCAGCCTAGGAACACTGCTGTTAACACCAATGTTTTTAGTTACTTCTCAGTAATGTTTGCTCTGACCAAGGACTTTCTGAGTCTCATGCTCTGCCAGGGAGGAGAGGGAAGCCATGAGGAAGCAAAGACAGAACACCTGACCCAAACTAGCCAAAGAAGTATTCCATACCACAGCATGTCATGCCCAGTATATAAACTGGGGGCTGTTACGTGGAAGGGCTAGATCACTGCTCAGGTAAGGCTGCATATCGATCGACAGATGGTGAGCGGTTTTATTCTCTTCCCTTCTTATTTCCCTTATCATTATTATTATTGATGGTAGCAGTAATGATTTGTGTGATACCTTAGTTACTGGACTGTTCTTACCTCAACCCGTGGGAGTCACATTCTTTTGATTCTCCTCCCCATCTCTCAGGGAGCAGGGGGGGAGGGGAAGTGGTCAGTGGGAGTGAGCCAGCAGTTGTGTGATTCCGGGTTGCCGGCTGGGCTTAAACCATGACAGTTCTTTGTTGCACCCAGCGTGGGGCACGAAGGGTTGAGATAATGACAGATATGACTGGAGTGTATCTAATTGTATTTGTGATAAGCATTAATTGTTTTGGATTAATAGTCACTCGTCACAATGCTGATTTATTGGCTCTCAAAGTTGTTGCTCTTGATCTCACAGTTTCAGCATGTCGTACCTTACTTACAGCCGGTACCTTACAGCTGGTATTTGTTATGTTAGTGTTTATTGTCTGGGGCCCTTGGACTAAGGTTCTTGTTTCATTGTACTTTATGGTAGTGACTTGCAATACAATAGAATCATTGATCATGAAACTGATCTGGCTTGCATTCCCAGTGTGGTCAACATCTCTATACTTTGGGAGGTATATAGTAGAAGTGCTTAGCAATTGCACATTTTTTTCCCCTCCTCAGGTGATCAACCTATGAAGGAGACATTCCTTTACATTCCCAGTCCCCCTACCAGACTATTTACAGCATCATTTGAGAGTTGAAGGTTTTGAATGGCCTTTGGGTACCCTTGAGACCTGCCTGCTGATTGTGATGGGGATCAGCATGTTGGTACACATACAGAGTGTGTTTTACCCATGACCATTTCATCTGATTTCAAAAGTTAAACAGAGTTAGGTTTGTGTCTTGTCTAGGGTTAGATGATTATATAAGAGGACCAAGAATTTTTTTCCTGAAGCTGGACAGTCATGAGTGACAAGGTGTGTGGGAGAGTATGGGCAAGTATATAGGCCAGTGGGCCCCTCCAGTGCTTTGGAACTTCACCACTGAACAAGGGCAAAATCCAGAAAAATTAGTAAAACACTTAAATAAGGTGTGTTGTCATCCTGGTCATACCAGAGATGGTCAAATCATGGCAACGTGCTGGGGCTTGGCCTATGCTTACAGAGCCCTGTTCAACACAACCCAGCATCTCCAAAGGGAAAAAAATGTCTCTGGATCTGATGGCAAAGCAACAGACAATGCAGCTACTCCCACTCCAAACACACAGCAGCCACACCAACCCTAGAGACAAGTACAGCAGCTACTCAAACTCTGACTGCAACAGATAACACAGCTACTCTAACTCCAAGTACAGCAACTACACCAACCCTAGCGACAAGTACAGCAGCTACCCAAACTCTGAATACAGCAGGCAATGCAGCTAATCCAATTCCAAGAACAGCAACTACACCAACTCCAGGAACAAGTACAGCAGCTAGTCAAATCCTGACAGCAACAGACAACACAGCTGCTGGTGCTACTCAAACCCCAAACACAGCACGCACCAACCCTGACAACAGATACTGCATCTGCTCCAACCACAGTGACAATCACTGAAGCTAAACCAGAGGACCAATTCATGCCAATATTGGTTGCCCCTGTACGCAAGTGGAAAAGCAAAAAAGAAGCACAAAAACCAATTCGTATAGTGAAGAAAGATGAAGAAACAATGCACTTACTACCCAGAACAGCATCTGATCAGGAGTTATTAGTATGTGAATCAGAGGAAGAAGAAGAAGAAGATTTGACTTCTCAATCCCAGACCTCAACTGTGCTACAGAATATGTGAAAAGATTTTACCCGTCAATCAGGGGAGCACATCATCACCTGGTTGCTCCGATGCTGGGACAACGGAGCCGATGGTGACGAACTAGAAGGCACAGAAGCCAAGCAGCTGGGATCATTTGCTAGAGAAGGCGGGATTGACAAAGCAATTGCAAGAGAGAAAAAGTCCCTCAGTCTTTGGAGGCGGCTCTTGGCAGCTGTGAAAGAAAGGTTTCTGTACAAGGACGATGTCATGAGCTGTTTGGCCAAGCAGACTATGCTAGAGAAAGGCATCCAGTCTCTGGGGAATCAGCCATTGTAGAGATGATCTATCACAGGCTGGATGCCAGGAATGCATCCATAGATAGAGATTAGGTCGAATGTACACAGCCCATGTAGCTGAAATTTACACAGAGTGCACTAATCTGGAATGACATAGTACCACTAACTGTGGATGAAATGATTCATCATCTCAGAGATTTCAAAGACAATCTCACCCCTTCCATCATTTCAGCTGTGAAAAAACTGTCCCAGGAGTTTAAACAATTGAGAGATGATCTATCCAGCCCCACCGTCTCTGCTTCCACTGTTGCAACCACCCTCATGGGGCATTTGCCACCATCCATGATTCAGAAAAAAAAATAAAATATTGTAATCAGGACATTTCAAACTGATAATTATAACACATTCTTATATTTCATTGAACAAAAAAGCTTTTTGGAAAGGTAAACAATCTCATTTCTGTTAATTTGTACCAGTAAAATGCTATTCCATTGACCAATAATATGTTTAAGAAAATTTCATGATAGAAGCTGTACATATACAGTGAACTCCCATTTAATGCTAATTTTGGCTTTAATCCTCTCTAATCTAGTATGGCATTCAGAGATAACATTAAATCATCAGATTTTCTAATAGCATCAGACAAAATAATCAGATAAACGTCAGATTAGAAAATGGCCATCTCTTATCCAAAGTGATTATCTTCAAATATGTCATTAAACAAGCACTCTATGTATATGTGAATATGTATATACTTATACAGTATATTAAAGGAAATAATGTTCAGTTCAGCACTGAATATTTTTTCCTTATTTATGTCTGAGCTTTAATTTAAATTGTGTAAGGCAAAAACTCCAACCTTCTCTGTGAGACATTATAAACACACAAAATGAGTGTTGTTCTTTTCCCAAATTGCTTCTAGTCCGTAAATAATAACAGGCAAATGTTTCAAGTATCTCAAAGCACAAGACAGGTAGGAGGTATTTACAGAAATTGTTATATGTAGTAGTCACAGGACGTCAGCTGGATTGTGTGAAACTTGTATTGATTGACTAAAAAAGCTCCAGGGACTGTGAGATTCCTAAACAATAATGAAATAGAGACAGTCTTTTGAACAAAAACACTAGAGATAGGAATTCAAATTAGTTTTCCTCAGAAGAGATACTCCTTGGGGAGGCAGGGGAGAGAAGTCTTATGTTAGTGCCTATATTAAACCTCAAAGAATGATTAAATTCCTCTGACAGAAATCTAACTGAAACAAAACACTCCTCAAAGCCTGGTTTTGGCCAGAAATGAGTAAGGTGAAGATGTCAGGAGACTTTCGGTGAGGCTGATACAAAAACTACAGATACATGAGTGGGGCAAGATTTCATTGCTTCCAAAGATTTTCACAAGTATAGAGGGAGACTGGAATACCTCAGTTAAATGAACCAGCAAACAAGCTTTACAAAATTGAATCAGGATATATTGAAACTAAAATGAAGACAGTACCACGGTCAGTGACTGCCCTTTTATCTTTCTTTTAGCTGGTGGGAAACACAACAGAAAATAGTACAGAAAATGAGCATGTAGGTGGGTACGTGTGCAGTTCAATGACACAACAGACTTTATAGGAAAAATATCATATGAAAGAAGAAAAGTATAGGCTGCTCCTTATTAAGGTAACACGAGTAAAATGAGGATATTTAGTTGTTATATGTTGGAAAAATTAAAAAGAGAAGTCTATTAACTTGTAAGGAGTCTTGTAAGAATCGCATGTGTGCTCATGCCTATCTTACTACATACCCATTTCTACAAGCCTGGAAAAAGCCAGCAAACTGCCTACTGAGAGCTAAAACACAGCTGCACAAACGCAGAATAACTCTGTATTGCACTTGAACATTGGTTTAAAAATAAAAACCTGTGGAAGCTTGGTGTATGTCATTAATTGCCATATGTTCTCTTACATCTGCACTATATAGAGCAACAAGTAATTATTTATTTTAGTGGGGTTTATAAATTTGCCATGTGTCTGCATCCTACTATCCACAAGGTATGAGCCTTCTCTGAATGTGGGGACCGAACAAGCCCGGTTTACTTTTCCATGTAAAAAGAACTAGCTATTGAGTCAAAATTCCTCAGCCCCCAGGATTAAAATCATCAGGACTAACAAATGTGTTGGCTGAAAATGCTTTTAACAGTCTGGCAATTGGCCGTTTTTTTTTTTTTAATGTTTGGCTGTACCAAACTGGCCCAACCTATTGCCAGCATAGCTCAGCATGACAATTACAACAGTAGTGTAGAATAAAAATGAGTTTCACAGGAAAGAAAGAAATGCACATTGAAAAGGAAACTCAGAAGATTGTTCATACGTGTTACAAAAAAAAATGATATATTTAACTCTGGTTCCTGTCAGAGAATATAGTCCAACTGATATGTTTATATAAACACTGAGGGATGCTTGAAGTATCAGAAAATATTTAGGGTTGATCAACGTTTTAACTACACAGATCCAGATAAACTACAATTGATGCACAGCTTATAAAGAGCACCTATTAGCTTTTAGGAAGCTGAAGAACTTGGAGTGTCTTTTAGAAGCACTGGTAATGAGCTTGAAAACAATCCAGAATGGAATATATGTTTATAAACCTTGCTGATATCATGGACTTTATAAGTCCCACTGTTCTGCTAGTTTGTCTACTCAGCTGAAATGTTGACAGTCATGGGAGTTGTAGGCTCCCTTAGAGCAGTAGTCAATTTCAATAATATTGCTGTACTGTGTTTTAGTAAATGTACATTTTGCTTTCACATATCTATTCGAGTGAAGAATTCAGTAAGAAATTCAGTCTATGAGAAATTTGAGTATTTTTTCCTTTTTTAAATTTCTCAGTCACTGCCTCTAAACATCACTATATACATGGCCAGCTAGCGTCCTTCAAGACAGCATTATTCTCATTGAGACAATACCCAAATACTTATTATGATTCTTTCAAGCTGATTTTGACAACCAGCAAACCTCAAATAAAACATCCATAATTTAAGCATGACTGCTGATGCTGAACATAATAACAGTTCTGATGATATTCATGTAATAAAACGTAAAATGCCAACCACTCCGTACCTCCTTCTTCAAAATGGATTAAGGAATACTTAGGGTTCTTCAAAACTCTCATAAATTCTCCACCAGTATGGATCTAAGATAATTTTATCACTAGCTACCAAATTAAATGTTAAAGTCAACAAGTTGAGAGTAAATTAGAGAATTACATTCACTTGAATATTGAAATAAAATTCTAATTGGCTACATATTTCAAGTTTTTCAATGTGCTACAGTATATTTATGCTAATTAAAGCTATGTGTATAATGGGGCAAAAAATGCATGCTATCTGTTGCCAAAACATATCCTTCATTAATCTGTATCACTTGATTATTCATGTAGAAGGAAATTTAGCAAGTGAAAATAATATTTTTTCATTTTGATTTCTCTCTTTAATTCTGCTAAAAACCCCATAGCTCAAATCTGAAGCTAAGTAATTTGTTTAATTCAATGGCATTTTAGCTTTTTTTGTGACTGCCTACAAAGGGAAAAGCTGTTATTTACACAGTTTTATTAGAAATGCTAAGTGCAAAATAGAATTTTAAAATGTATTTGGTGTGTTGACAGAATAAAACTAACAAACATTTCAGCCAGAAATAGAACGTCATTTCCTCCAAGCATATAGAAAGATAGAATAAACAGTCAAAAAATGATCAGAAAAAAAAATTACAATGTGAATTAAATAACTCAATTTCGTGAGTTATAATCAAGCGAATTCCTAGTCATGTTAAATCATGTGCAGGGAGAATATCTCAAAGAAAATTGTAATGCAAGTTTTCCTGTCTCTTTACGTCTCAGAAGAGCATTAGCTACCTTGCTTGTTTCTGTTGTGTGAGTGCGTTTTGCTTTTTTTTTTGGGGGGGGGGGGTGGTTTTTTGTTTGTTTGTGTTTTTTTGAGTGAGGGTTTTTTTTTCCTTTTTTTTTTTTAAATTGCTTTCTTGCAGATTACACATGTAATAGGAACTGGAATATATTGTAACAATATGAACTTCACTTGATACGCTTTAAAGCTCAGGGGCCAGACAAAATTTTATAAAGCAAGATTTCATACAGAAAATGTACTTCTTATGTGTAACAATTCAAGTGCATTTCCTGC